ATCAAGTCGCACATGACACCAGAGCTAGCGGCCGCGAGGCAAAACATGCTGCTCACCTGGGTATGTAACAGGATAGCCGACCAGCTGGCCGAGCAGACGGCCAAGAAAATACAGTTGCAGGCGGGGGAGGTGGAAGGTGTTCTGATTTCTGAGGCCGTGACCCGAGCGGTTCGAATTCGTGCTTCTGAGATGTTCCTCTCGAGGTCCTCGGAGGTCCCTGAAGGCACTCAGTCCCGAAGGACAGTCTCGAGCTAGGAAGAAAGCCAGAGCCAAACAGCGTTTCCCCCAATTCCTCCCTCCTCGTTCTTTGAACCCTCGCCCGAAGCTCGCCAAGCAGCTGCGCGCCGGTGCGCACTCAATGATCCCAGTCGGCGAAGGTTCCGATTGCCGTTTGTTATGTAATGTATGTTGCTCTGTAATTCCTGTCAACTCCAACGGTAATATCCCGTCACAGGAGTTATTGTACTCCCGGTGCCAGGCCGCTGTACCCAGAGCTGGGCACGAAGGTGCCAGGCAGCTCAGAAATGTGCACATCGGGGCCAGGTATATTGATCCATCTCATGACATGGTCCTTTCGGCCAAGGGTACTTACATATGTTTGACGTGTGGCAGCCATGCCTCACGCAGCGCTCATAATCTTTTCAAATAGTGTAAGGAGGCCATCCAAACTGGCAATGCCGATTTGAGCAAATTCAAGAAAGGGGGGGATACTTTTCTCCCCTGCCGCCCTTGCTTGAACGGCTGGTCCTTCCAACGCCTTTGAAACTGACCACTGGTCAACTGCGGCGTCCTCCTCCTCATCCTCCTCCTCCTTCGCCGCACTGTCCTCCTCTTCCTCCTCCTCGAGCCTCCTCCTCCTCCTCCTCCTCCTCCTCCTCCTCCTCCTCCTCCTCCTCCGCCCTGTCCTCCTCCTCCTCGAGCCTCCTCCTCTCCCCTCCTCCCTCCTCCTCCTTCTTCTCCTCATCCTCCTCGAGCCTTCTCCCTCCTCTCTCCTCCTCCTCCCCTTCTCCTCCTCCTCCTCCTCCTCCTCCTCCCCCTCCTCCCCCTCCCCTTCCTCCTCTCCTCCTCTCCTCCTCCTCCTCCTCCTCCTCCGCCTCCTTTCTCGTCTCTTTCCTCCTCCTGCTCCCCCCTCCTCCTCCTCCTCCTCCTCCTCCTCCTCCTCCTCCTCCTCCTCCTCCTCCTCCCCCTCCCTCTCCTCCTCCTCTCCTCCTCCTCCCTCCTCCTCCTCCAACTCCAACTCCAACTCCAACTCCAACTCCAACTCCAACTCCTCCTCCTCCTCCTCCTCCTCCTCCTCCTCCTCCTCCTCTTCCTCCTCCTCCTCCTTCTCAGCCTCCTGCTCCTCCCTCCTCCTCCTCCTCCTCCTCCTCATCCTCCTCCTTTTCCATATGTTCCTTATTTTCCTTCGTTTTCTCCTTCTTCTCCTTTTCCTTTTCTTTTTTTCCTCCTTTCCCTCCTTTTCCTCCTTCTCCTTCTTCTCCTACTCCTCCTCGTCCTCCTTTTCCTCCTCCTCCTCCTCTTCCTCCTCCTCCTCCTCAGCGGCGCGCGCGTGTCTTCTCCGCGGGCGCGCGTTGATCGTGGGCAGGCGAACACCTCCGCCGCCCGCAAAAACTGGGCGTTTCCTCCTGGGGTGACCGACTGTCCAAGACAGCAGCAACTCCCAAGGAGGGATGGGCCGGCCAGCCGGGGCCTTTTAGGAAGCATGCCCAGGAGCTTCGCGGCCATCGGGTGGTGCCGTCCAACGACCGCGAGCACCTCGGCCCCGCCTCGCGGCGGTCCCCGCGCGCTTTCCCTGGGCCTCTGGTCGGCCAGCGCGCCGGCCAGCCGCCCGCGGGTGGCGCCGCCAGCGGCCGCGCCTTCGCGGTAGTACCGCCGAGCCGTCGCGCGGACGCGCGCCTCCGCCCGCGCCCAACCGGGGCCCCCCCCTCGCGCCCGGGCCAGCCTCCGGGTGGCCGCGGCTCCGCACCGCACGCCGCCAGCGCCGCCTTCGCCCCGGGCCCGGCGCAGCGCCTGGCAACGCCCCCGCGGGGCAGCCCCCCAACCGGCAGCGCCCAGCCGCCGCGCTCGTCGCCCAACAGCGCCCGCCCGGCCCGCGCTGCAATTGATCGGCGCACGGCTGGCGTCGCAACGCCGCGTGAGCCAGTGATCAGTCAGTCAGCGCCTTCAGCGGCCGCCGGGTTTTTTTTGCGGTTCGGCCCCCTGCCAATGCGCCCCGCCTAGCGCCGACTGCGTCGCCGCCAAGACCGCGTCGGCTGCGTCGCGCTGGACGACGCATCCGAGCGACTGGTGCAGTCGCTCGATGGCCACCGAAATCCCCGCGTCCTGCGCGGGCGCGAGAAGCCACGTCAGGGGAAGCGCCTCCTCGCCCAGGCGGTCCACCACGAAGAGCACCGTGGCCGCCCCAGGGTACCGGGCCCGCTTGCGCCGCGCCGCGGCCGCCGCTGCCGCGCCGCCCTGCCGCGCAGAGCCGAGGGCGAGCGCATCCTGCGCGAGCGCGCTCCCCACGGCCAGGTCAACCGTGAGCAGCTCGGCGAGGCGCGGGGCGTAAGTGACGAGGTCCATCCGCGCCTCGGGGCTCTGCATGGCGCGGGGGAGGACTTCTCGGTGCACAGGGCACCCTTGTTCCTCGCACCACGCCGCGAGCGCCGCGCAGCCCGCGTCGTGGCGGCGGACCAGCCACCTTTCCACGGCGCCGTCACGCGGTGGGGTCCAGCGGCGCGCCGCAGATCCTGCCGTCCGGGCGCCGGTGCTGGCAGAGCCTAAGAAGTCGGGGGCCAGCAACGCAATGTCGAACTGCGCGCCGGCCAGCCGGTGGCAGGGCAGCGTCGGCACCTGCAAGAGCGCGCTCGCGCCTAGGCCTCCTGCGGAGCGCAGGGCGGCCGCCGCCAAGGGGTCCGCGGCCGCTGCGTCAGCAACGAGGCGGGCAGCCGCAGCGAAAGGGGCCGTAGCCTGAGTGCCAGAGTGTGCTGCGGGCTGCATCGTCCCCCAGCGCGGCCCGGAGCGTCGCCGTGGCCGCCGGCAGGCTGCGCCGCGCCCATGGGCTCAGCGCAGCCAAGGCGCTGGCGCTCTCCAGGCCCAGCCGCCGCAGGCATTGCGGCAGGCAGAGGTGCCAGGGCGCGGCGTGCGCCGCAGGGGCCGTAAGCTCCACGCCCTGCAGCAGCCCGTGACCTCCGGCGCCAGCGAGGAAAAGTTTCTTGCGCGCCGTGCCGCCAAGCGCCTCGCCGCCCCGCGCGTGCTCACACTCTGTGGCCAGCGCCCGTTCCAGGGCCCGCGATGCCGCAGGTGCGCGCCAGGAAGGTGTGGTCAGGGCCTGTCCTCGTGCGCAGGAGGGCCAGCGCCGCGCGTTTGTCCAAACCCGCTGCGCGCAGGTCGCGGAGTATCTGGGAGATCCTCCCGCGGGCCGTCTGTAGCTTGGCAACCTCGGGGCTGCCCGCGGCGAAGGGGCCCCTTCCACCTGGTGCTGCGGCGGGGGGTTCGGGACAGCCTGCAGCGCCGTGGCGGGGCTGCCAAGGTTCGGGGCTCCAGCTCGAACCCGCCGCCCAGGGAGCACCGCCACGTCGACCTGTTGGCCTGGGCTCAGTTTCGTCTTGTTTGGGTTGCAGCGGAGGCCGGCCGCGGCGCGCGCCTGGGCGAACGTTTCTTCGGCGGCATCGGCCCTGCTCGGGTCGCAGATGACATCTGGGCCATCCCGGTAGCAGTAGCCCCTCGCAGGGTCTGCCGCCGCGGCTGCGGCCTTTTCCACGGCGCCGAGCCCAAAGGAGGAGGCGGAGAGAGGGCGGAGGCTGCAGCAGGGGATGAGACCAGAGAGGAAGACGAGGACGGCGACGAGGACGGGGACGGGGACGAGGACACAGACATGAGGACGAGAGCGAAGACAAAGGAAAAGGAGGAGGGGATCGTCAAGATCATATGCTGGGTTCCGTGCGTCATCGGGCGAGTTACGAACAGTAGTCCCTAAGGGATTGACGATGTTTCGCCAATCCACTTGTGAAAATCGAGCCAAGTACATCAACGCAAATGCAGAATCCACGTAAATCGTGGCAGATCCAGGTGGACCCAGAGATCTCCAGGGAAATTTGGAACAACTCGTGGCCGCTCCAGCGCGAGTGGAGGGACGGCAGAAGTCGTTACGCCCTCAGCGGAGTCGCAAGATCTCTCGTGGAACGCGGCCCTCGCCTTGAACACGCTGTGCCGCGTGAGCACCGCCCGTCCGTCCGCACCCCCCCCCTCCCACGCCCCTCCCCTTGTCGGCGGGGGCGTGTCCGTGACCATCGCCCCGTGGGATCGATCTCCCCGGGACCTCGGCATGCGGTGGCCACGGATGCGGTCGGGGGCCTTTGCGTGCCACGTCGCGGCGGCGGCCCCGGCGGCGCGCTGTGCCTCTTGCGAGCGGATAGCGCGTCGCTCCGCTGCGCGGCGTGGGAGGCTCTGTGCAAGGCTGCTCGGGACGTTGGCGCCCGAGGGCCGGGCCGCGGAGAGCGCGTCGCGCGGCATCGTGGGGGGCCCGACCTGGTGTAAAGGGAAATTAGGACACACAAATAAATACACACAAATAAAACTGATCCCCATATTTTCCCATATGTTTTGGGTTTTTGTCTTCCCCCCCAATTCCCATATTTTCCCATATTTTCTGGGGAATCGAGGATTAATTGTGTCTGTGTGTTTCTTTCCCTCCTGAGACACGCTGAGCCAGAGGTCCTGACCAGAAGCCCCCGCCTCGGATCCTCGCAGTCCTCCGCTTCTTTCCTGCCCGTTCCCTGACCCCTCTCCCCTCCTCCCCCCTCCTCCTCCCCCTCCTGGCCATCTTCCCTCCCTCTCGTCCGTCGCCCGCCCCCCCCTCTCGAGGACGATGAGGAGGAAGGCAGGAAGGACAAGGTGGACGAGGAGGAGGAGGAGGAGGAGGAGGACGAGGGAGGACAGGAAGGAGGACGACGAGGACGCGGGGGAGGACGAGGAGGAGGACGACGAGTACGAGGAGGTGGGCGAGGAATGCGAGGAACTCCTTCGGGCCCGCGGGGCATTCCGCGCCGGGGTCCCCGATCGGCTGCGAGTCCGGGCCGTCCACCACACGGCCCCTGGGCACGTCCTGCGGGGAGCCCGCGGGAGGCCAGGGGGAGCGCCAACGAGCAGAGGAAACAAACATACAGACCCATCGGCCGGAAGACCTGGGAAGATACATGAAGCAGGATGGGCATTCAACGAAGAGGGGGCCACTGCCCGCCCCCTAAAGAGGAGTGTCAAGGAGAAGTCCGCTCGACCCTTTGAAACAGGAGGGCGCCGACAACAGACTGGGGCGGGAGTCTAAAAATACCCGCTGGGAGGTCCGCGACCGCAGAAGGCGAGGCCGCGCCAGCCCCGTGGGGAAACCGATAGATGCCGATACACCCACGGTCGAGAACATAACCTTCAACTCTTTTGAGCACGATGGGCTGCAGACGGAACTCGGGTTGAAATCGCCTCAAACCTACTTGAAACCCGAAATACGTTTAGGCTTCAGTATTCGCTGAACTACTAGCTGGCCCCCAGGAAAGCCAAACATCCTTCCTCAGCCTTCGTCGCCGCGTGTGGGTGGAGGCGGAGGGCGATAGCCAAAAGGACCAGCAGCTTCATCTCTTCATGACGAAAGCGCTAGCTCACAACCAGCATCATCACAGCCCGCGGTGCCTCTCGCAACTGTCGTCCTTCGTCGTGATCAGCTTCATCAGCCGCTCCATCGTCTCTTTGTCGGGAGCCTCGGTGAACAGGTCGGCTGGATCCCAGTGGCCCTCGACCGCCTTCAGCAACAACCTCTCGTGCTGAATCCACTCCTGCAGCCAGAGAAAAAAACGCACATCCAGGTGTCGAACAGTTTCCACTCCTTGTCGGTTTGTGATCCCTCTGGCGGCCTAACTGTCCCTAGAGACATACAGCTCCAATCTCGCTGCCAACATCGATTGCTGGATCGATCATCGTGGCTATTACTTCAAAGCCGTGGAAGGATCCCCGCAGTAGGGAGTTGTACTCGGCCTCGCCGCTGCCCAAAATCTCTGCGCCTTGGGTTGTACTGCCATGTTCCAGCAGATACGATCCCGATAGTATTGCCATCTCACTTCTCGAGCGTCTCGTGATCGGGTCGCCCGCGTAGTCGCCGTCGCCGCACGCGCTCGCCTTCTTCGGCAGCCTCTGAGCTGGGAACAGCAGCCGCCCGGCGGGGTACTTCTCCAGGGAGCGCCGATTCTCTGGAAGTCCTCCACGTTGGGCTCCTTCGGCTCCCGCATGCGTCTGGCCTGCATTCTCGCGAAGTAGCTGATACCGGGCCTGTGCATGCGCAGGCGCATGACACTCGTGTCCACGCCGCGGTAGGCCTTGATCTCTTCGCCGTTCAATCTCGGCGAAAGACGATCGATTTTCGGCACCTTCGACACCGACCTCTTGACAGCCGGAGTCGTGACCCTCCTTCTCGTTCTCCAGACTCAGGTCCATGAACACCTCCTGTACATGCCCGGCGCCCGCCTCGAGGCGGGCTGAGCGCTCGAACGGGCCCCAGACCAGCACCCAGTTGAGGTAGACCACGCTCTGCTCCTTCAGCGGCTTGCTGCACAGGACCCCGTCGCCTTGATATCGTAGCGGGAAAGTCCCTCATCGAACCAACTCTGCTGGGACTTACTCATGGTCGCGCCGAGATCGACGCCGTGGACCTCCGCCTGGATCTGACGCTCGGCATGGCGCAGCAGCGCAGGGTTCGAAATCCCCTTCTTGACGCTGCGCGAGCTCGTCAAGCCAATGTAGTCGTCTTGCCAAACGTGACTTGCGTCGGCCGCACCGTGCGCCATCGTGAGTAGCCTGCCCACCATGGGCTCTGGGCACTCGCTGGTCTCCTCCTCGCGCAACTCCACGCGCGCCTCGCGATTCACGTCGCCATAGGAGTGCGCCCTCGAGGTGTCGTAGAACTTGTGCACGGCCCCTCGTTATCGCCATCAAAATAGGCGTCGCTTACGCGCCCTGCGAAGATGATCACCATCGCGCTGAACGCCTCGAGCGGCGGCGTAGCCGAGAACAACTCATGTTGGTTAGGTCGGTCTTCGGCTTCCATCGCCTTCTAGTTTGCTCTCGCGACCAGCCTTGAGCGGTGCCTCGCTGGGGTCCCGTCGCCCTCGCTGCTGCAGATCCACTTGAGAGCAACTGCCTTCTTGCCATTCTTGGGCAATTCGCGTGCAAGTATATTTCTTCCCGCGCGCGCCTTCCGCGGCGCCATTCCAGCTCCGCCAGCCTCGCAGCCTGAACGGCCTCAGAATCGAGCGCGCCGCCAGTGAGGTCGCCAATGAAGAAGTCGCCCTGGCACCCCGCAAGGAGCGGCAAAGGTAACGAGACCTTCGCGTCGCCGAAGCTCTTCTCGCAATCCTCTGAGAACAGCTGCCGCCAAGCTGGTGTGGACGCCCGACATTGGCACGAACGAATGGGTACAATATCCAACAACACATGTTGTCCCAAACCAACAGCGGGCACTGTTGGGCAGGCGGCCTTCTGTCTCAAGTGGACACAGGCCGCGGCGGCGCGGACAGCGAGTCCTGTTCCAAATGAGCAGGAACTGCTGTTGGGCATTGTACCCATTCTTTCCGTACCCACGTCGTTCGTGCAGAGCTGGGGGGGGGGTCCGTCGCGCGTGTCCGGCTCGCCCATCGACCGCGCGCACAGAGCGAGGCAGCTCTCTTTCTCGATTCGGACCTCTCAGACGCTCGCACTAGACCTCGAGAAGTTCGCGAGAAGCTCACCGTCGGCGAGTCACCCAGTCTCTCCCCGAAAGAAGCCCCGCTTCCCGTCGGGGCCAATCGCCTGCGCGTGCCAGCGGCGCGTAGGCCCATGGACTAGGCGCACGCATAGCCAACTCGATGAACTCCTGAACGCATTGGCGGTGCCAGGTGCTTGCCAACCAAGGTCTTTCCCGAAGAGATAGCAATCAATCAATGGCCCCCTGCCCTGCAGCGCCCCGCGCAGACCTCCATGCTAAAAGTGAATCTCGCCATCCAGGTAATGGGCCTCGACGATCGCTGGGTCGCGCTTGCAGTCCGAGAACTTGCGCAGGGTGGTGAGTGTCTTCCCCTGCTCTGGAAGTCGTGGATCCCAATCAGTCTCGACGCCCCCAGCCAGGCCTGGTTCGAGTCCGAACCTCCGTTGTCTTGGCAAACTTCCTCGGCGAGCAGATCTCCGCGACACCTGCAGCGCACATATCTGCAAAAAGTTGCGCAATCGCCTCCGCCTGCGCCACGTCTAGGTTCGCCGTCTCCGATGCGAGTGATCTAAAAGACGGCTATCTCGTTAATCGCGACGAACATGTCACCCTTTGTCGTTGACACTCAGTCTCGGCGACTGGTCGACGTCCATCGCAAGGTTCTGAGCCGCAGTCGGTCTTGAAGCCGACGCCGACGCGCGCTCGGGTGGCCCGTCCCAAATCCGACGCACCTGCGCGGTGCTACCTGGCAGCGCTCGTCGAGCTCCCATCGACTCCAGCCGGGTCCTCTGCTGGGTGGCCGTCGCGGCGCCCCCCGGCCCCCGGTCGAGAGCTCGGCCCTCGTCTCCAGCGGGCGGCGAAAGCGCAGCCTGGTCTCCGCCAGCTACGGCCTGAAGCCGATAACGTCGCCCCGTGCCGGTTGGTCCTCGGCTCGGAAGTGGCGCCCAGTAACTCTGATTCTGTCTTCAGGGTCCTCATTCGTCAGCTTTGCGATCCTCGCGCGGCGCTCCTCGTCGCGGGCCTTTGTCGCCCTTCTGCGTCTGCCCGAGACGCCCGGGGCAGCCCGACGCAGCCCCGCGCCTCTCGACATCGCGGCGCAAGACGTACCTCGCTTGCGAGGCTCGCGGCTCCACCCGCGTGGCAGCCACCGCCGGCGCTCTCGCGAAATCAGGCGCCTCCGCGTCTGGGCGCGTCGCCCAGGGGACTCCTCGAAGACCGCCCCAGTCCTTGCCGTCCCAGGCCCGCTCCGTCGGCAACCTCCCGAAGCGCAAGGCCTTCCCCGCCCCGTCGACCGTCGCGACGAGAGGGGGCCCTGCCCGCGCGTGGCAGCCTTGGATATTCCCATACTCCACGCGCCTCTCCACGGTGCCCCCGCGCCCTCCTGGCGCGAGCGGCCCGCGCATCACCCGCTCGCCGAACGCCGCCCCCAGCTTCTTCCAATCGCGGCCAGAGCGCCGCAGTTCTGCGGTAAGACCACCAGTTCCATGTCGATGTCGGCCCAAGAGAGCCGCTGCGCGCTGGGGCAACCACTTCAGGATGGGGCGCGCGTCGTCGACCTCCTCGCCGAGCTTGGGCTCCAACGCGAACCCATTCGCCCCGACCTGCCACTTGACTTCTCGCACTGCGACCTAAAAGCGCCTATTATTCGACGTTCTCTTGCTGGCGACCTCTCGCGGTAGATGCTCCACTGCAGGCGCCGCCGCTGCGACGGCCGTCTTAGGGGCTGCGACTGCGGGCACCGCGTCGCGCCGACAGATCAGCCCGCGGCGGCCGAGGTTCAGGATGAAGCCCATCGAGATCTATATCATGAAGTCGGCGACCCTCTTGCCTGAGACCGCCGATGGACGCGACAACTTCGTCTTGGGCCCCTCGCCATCAGCGCGGGAAACTTGCCCTCCTGGCCCCCATTTTCCTCGCCGGTCTTCTCGCCAATGAACGCGAAATAAATGAACGCCGCCAAATCTGCGCCTTCGGGTCGTTCGCCGCGGAGCTCGCGTTGCCGACCGTCCTCGAGCTGCGCGGCAAACTTCGCGCTGGTCTCGAAAAACAGCACGTCCTGTGGACTCGTGATCCAGCTCGGCTTTGGTCGGCAACGTCTCGCGCCCTGGACCTCGCGCCGGAGCGACCTCCGCGGGGTCGCCGTCGTAGTCTTCGCCATCTTCGCCTTCTCGTCGTAGCCCGCGCCACCTTCCTTCTTCAACGTCGCGAGGAGCGGAATCTCGACCCCAGGGCGCTGGCGCTAGCGGCCAGCGGCCTCGCGCCTGCCGCGGAACCGTCGCCGGCCACTGAGGGGCCGCGCTCGCGGGGGCCCAAGGGCAGAGATCGAGCGCTGCCGATCCCGAAGAGGCAGCCAACATCGGCGCGCCCATCAGCACATC